AGTCTTACTTTGATTTTAGAAACACACAATTCATAAGAGAAAACAAAGAGTGAAAAAGTTAGTCTAAAGAGAGTTCTTATTAGTTGAAGGGAGGTGTTCTTTTTTGTGGAGCTTTGGACTCAACTCTTGTCCAGAGTTATTGAGTTATACTTTGTAAAGGCTGTTGTATCCTGGAGGGGACAAGTCAAAGAGGACTAATGCTGGACCGATGAAAACATTTGCTGCAGTGGGCTTGAATCTCCTTAAAGAGAGCGAGATATCCGCGTCTCAGCCTGAAGAGATTACTTTCTTCATTTTATTTTCAATTGTAATCTTGCAATTTTATTATCTTGTAAGTTTTTTCACTAACATGACCTAATTTGCGGTGACACATATATATACACTCCTTTCATAATATTCAGTATCACTGATAATAAAATATCTGATGAAATTATATAAATATAATTTGAAGGAAATAATGTATATGTAAATTTTATCATTACCTTATTGAGATAAAGTGATTATTTTTGAAAAACTCTCTATTTGAGTATAATAAATGAAAATAAGTATGAAAAATAAAAAATGAACTTGAAAAAAGACGGAACTGTTAATACGAAAACACAATAACAATAATGTAATTAAAAGATCATCATAAATAGATAAATGGTAAAAAGGAAAGAAAAAGAAGAAGAAGAAGAAGATATTATTATAAGAATAAAATATTTATCAAGTTATAAAATGAATTCATTTCAGAATAAAATATTTATCAAGATGATATTTTATTCATCTCGTATTAATAGATGTTGCTATCATCAAAAGTTCCAAATATTTGTCAAGTTACAAAATGAATTCAGTTCAATATTAATTTTTTCATAAGTTATTATGTATTTTGATTTGACGTTGATATTTTCTTAATATGTCATGTACAAATTCTTAAAATCTTAAACTAAATATTTCTATTATCGAATACTAAAAGTTTTGATTTTCATTAAGGAACTTTAAAAAATGATTATAATTTAAATTTAATTAAAAAATTATATTTATAATTTACTTAATTATAATTTACAACTTCACGTTTGAAGAAGGTAAGACATATTTTAAACTATATTAAATACATGCGTTGTATCACATGTATCAATGAAGGAATAGTAATTGGGCTTATATTGGCAGATTAGTCGACTTCGACCCAAATAGAGATGCCCAGTTGAAACAATTTTTTTTTTTAAAAAAAATTTCTCTCCGGAGGATCGTTATTTGTATTGACATCTAATTAAATACGAATTAATATATCGTAGGATATATTTTCTAAGTTAACACTTTTAATTTAATTTTTTAGCTTAAACTCAAGATTTATAATTAAAATTATAGTAATTGAAAGAGGAACACATCTGCAGTAGATATGTTTAAATTAGAGAGAAGTATAAAAAATATCTCTATACTTGACTAACTAAACTTAAATACACCCTTAAATAAAAGCGTATTTCACTAATATTGCGAGATCGGGAGTATATTTAGCTTTAATCAGTCAAATAAAGAAGTGTTTTTAAAATTGTTGATAGTTCTGGAATAAACTAATAACTAGCGTCAAATTTAAAAACGTTCTTGATATCTATCTTTAAATTATAATAATAACAATATATTTAGTGAAATATCTTAAATGGAATCAATATAATACGATAGACTCAATCTTACCTCTATTTTGTAAAGATAGAAAAATTATTTTCGAAACATATTTAGACAAACAAATCCAAGTATATAGAAAGAAATGTTTATATTATTATTAAGAAAGTTAATAAGCTTACTATTGAATTTTTACATTTGTATCCCTATTACCTTTTCATAATTCCAATATTACCCTCAATTACAAAAAAAAGCCCTAGATCTAAGTTTCCTTTTCATTTTCTTTCTTCTTCTTCCTTCTAGATCTGTTTATCTCCTCTTTTCTTTCCTCCATCTCTGCACACATTTCTCCACCATTTCAGTAGCTAACGGTAAGTTTCTGCATTTTCTCCTTCTCAGATTTTCTGCGTTTTTTTCTCTGTTTTTTTTTTCTTCACTTTTTTATTTGTTATAAATCTTCAAATGTTGGTGATGATTGAACTGTTCATACTGTTGTTGTTGATAGATTCAGTGTTTTCAAATCAGAAATATATTATAAATTCAAATTTAATCGAACTCGAGCTCAATATATATATATATATATATATTGGACATAAAACAGAAATCCCCAAAAAATTAGAAATAATTGACAAAAATAGTCTCTTATTTTGTTTATATTAACTTCAAAATAGTGTTTGGTACTTTTAATTTATTAAAATTAAACATTTTTTATCTTATCAAATATTTACCAAATTTTAATTGGAATATGTGAAAATAAATGTATATTTTTATGTTCATAATATATAATATATATATATGTAAGTAGTAATATATATACATATGTATTCAATTTTCATGTTGTTGTTACAGGAGCAATGTGCTATATAGAATTGTTGCAAAGACCTATTAATATTTTAAAGTCTCACTTGTGCAAAAACCTTGAGTTGAGTTACTCGTGAATTTAGTAGCTTTTGCTCAGATTCTATATATATATATAATTAAAAAAAATTCAAAATGTTTATTAGTGTCGCATTAACTTTTATAAGAACTTGTGAACTTCAAATCCTGAATCCTTTTCTGGTTCGTTTAGTGAGTCATAATGTGCGAGGGTGCTATCCCAAAACTCGGTACCACCATCCACATCTCCGCGCTCGATGGGATCATCAACGTTAACTCCCTTTTCACGCTAGCCGTGTTCATCGGGCTAGCTTGGAACCCACATGATCAAGGTAATAGTCTCTCTCAGGACTCGAGTTGTATCGCGGAGCCCAAGGTTGTGGAGGACCTTGTAGCCTTTCATGTGTACTCATTTAGTTGTTTCCTCTTTTCTAGCCTCATTGCCTTGTGTCTTAAGCAAGCTATTCGTCTGGCTAAGTCAGCACACTTCCCAACCGTCTTCACGGTTGACTTAGCCCTAATCAACAAAACCGCCCTACGGGTCGGGTACTTGGTCTCGGCTGCGGGATCGGTTCTCGGGTCGGTTTTTTTGATGCTAGGTTTGATCAATGTGGTTCAAATCAAACTTGGAATTTTGGGGTGTGGGAGTATGCATACTTATGGAGCTATTATTCCTCTTGTGATTTTTGTGCCATTAGGGCTACTTATTTATGTTTGTACTGTTTTTTATGCTTTCACTCGTTAATTTGATCAATGTATAATTAATTAATTAATCGATACATTTACAAAAAAAATTAACTATATTTTCTATCACCCCTAAATGCTAACTTGGACATTGTATAAATATCTCAATTTGATATTTTAAAGTTTATTTGTGTCTTCTTTTAGTTTGTTTTTTTCTACTAGTAGGTTTTCTCGGAAAACTCTATTTATTCAGATGTAAATTTTTTTGATGAAATAACGATTGGTCTTGGAGAAATTGTAAAGTTATCTTGGTGCAATTCATAAGTTATGAATTTGAATTGTGAGAGTAGGTTGTTTACGTCATATTTTTTAGAAGGTGACAATTAATTAAACTTTACGAAAATATGAAATACTATCTCGAGTTGATGTGAGTTTTTGAATGGGAAAAATTGAATTTTGACAATAAATATGTAAAACACTAATTTTCATGATTGAAGAAAATTGGAAGTATTTTTGTTTGCCCCATTTTCAATTGGCCCAATTGTCAATCCTAGTCCTGATTGGTTATTTATGTTGATCTAGGCCCGTTTTGATATGATTCCAAATATTTATTTCTTTTTGAAGTTGAAATTTTATTTGAATTTTTGAAATTGTATTTTTTTCTTTTAAACATGAGAACACTATATATACATATATATTATTTGTGAATACTATCAAAAATTTCCTAAAAATCATTCAGTATTACCAAATGAGCAAATCGTAATTTATAAATAAGGTACTGAAATATCACGACTTGCCGATTCATGTTATTTCAAAGTTCAAACTTTAAAATAATTATAATTTTACAAAGATTCAACGGTCCAACAAATCAACAATAGTAATAGCTAACTATTCAATGATAAAATCCTCCACATGAAATAGACAACTTATTCTTCACTTATGAATAGACGAGGCATCATATCACACATGATATCAGCATATATGATAATTCACGTGAAATATACTTGGATAATCTATTTATCACATAAAATACGTGTGTCTATCCATTTAAATAACTTTATATAAATTTTAACTGTTTAATTATGCACATTTATATAAAATTAGAAAAATATAAATATCAAATGATATCAAATTAAAAGATTAGTTGAGAAATAGTTGTGCTTGAAGGATGGAAAATGGAAAAGGGGGATGTTTAGACATCAATCGATACTTTGTGTCAAAACTTGTCGATGGTGATGGGTCATCCACTACACCAATATCCACATTTTGTCCCCACAAAACACACACACACAAAACCCTAAAATGTTTGAAAGTCCAATTTTTTTTTTTTTACCAAATACAAGAGCTATCCTAGACATTCATGCAACCAATAATCAAATGACACATCATTATGTTTAATTATCATTATATTTTAAAAATTACTAGTTTCTTTAGCAAAGAATAACCTGATTTGACCTGACACGGAGTTTAAGAGTATAAAGAAAAAATTTTAAATATTGTGGCCCAATATTAAAGTTAGGTCGTATTTATAAAATTGTCATTTGATCTTGTGGATTTAAACATGTCACATGAAAAGTTGAAATTAAAATATTACCAAAAAAGAAAAAAGACATTCTTCTTCAAACATACTAGAAAAGAAAAAAAAGATTATTTTTTGAAAGAAATGGAATAAAATATAACGAAATCAAAATAGGTAAGTCATTACAAGAAATAAAAAAATTTTCATTATAAATTAATTCGTTGATAAACGCACGATGAAAAACAGATTCTTATTTCATTTGGAAAAAAACATATTGTGGTGAGGTAGAAGGATGATAATAATGAACCTAAATAAAACTAATGATTTCATGGTAAAATTAAGCAAGAGGATATTTTGATTATTGCGTATCCATGGTTTATCATTACAATCTTTTCTGTGTGAAAGTTGAGTGGAAAAACTATTATTTTTTCTGTTTCAAAATATTTAACCTTTCGAAAGTCAAATTATTGAATCTTAATTTATATTTTTAACATATATTATTTGTATAATTTGAAATATTGTATCAATATAATTTCAAAAATTACCATAATGTCGTCTCCACTTGGACATATTAACAGTGAGACCAGTTGGCTAGTCTTGTATTAATCATAATTATATTCGTTATACACTTCATTTAGTATATATTCTAACCATCTTTTGTCAAAATTCAATGTGTCAAGAAAAACAAATTAATTTGGATGCACATTGGTAAAGCAATACTCAATTTGTACGTAGTTCTTCCGTTCGAAATTATTTGACATGTTACGTTTTTCGAAAGTTAACTCGATTAATTTTTAAAATTAAATTAGGTCAAATTAATTTAATATTTTCAATTAAAGTAAATATTCTAAAACTATATGAAAAGTATTATAAATTTGTAATTTTTTTACATATTAATATGATAAAAAGATACATCTTAAAATGTTAGTCAAAGTTTTTATAATTTAACTCTAAAAATAAAAACCATGACAAATAATACCAAATGAAGGGTATAATTACTTTGTCTATAGAATTAACATATTTATTGAAATAATAATGAATATAATAAATTTGTTATTTTATTCCTATTAATTGAAAAAAGAATTTTAAACTACCATAAATAATATGTAGATACTCTCTGTCATATTTTTGCGATATTAGTGCCATTGCCATCTAAAAATTAAAGCATATATATATTTTACGCTAACTGACATACACCTGTCATAATCTTATCCACCGACATAATATTTATTAAATATCAAATTGACGAATAAAATTGCACCACATATCTCCAGGGGGCGAAGCTAGCTTATTTCAAGATTGTTCATCCACACCTCCTTCAGCGGAAAACTATATTATTTATACATGATCAAAATATTTTTTAATTATATATAATAAATATCGAATCCCCTTAGATTACTTTGTATATTTATTTCTCCAGATTTTAAACTCCCTTATAAAAGTTTTGATGTTTTAATCTATCGTTTGAAAGGTAGATATACTTTAGTTTATGGACGAAATGAGTATTAACGTTTCAAAAGTATGACAAAACGTATTTATATATCATTCACGTCAATTCAAATAAAAAAATATATTTGTCCTTGAGCATATAATGAAATGAATGGATTAAAAAATTTAAATTTTCAGAAAATTGATATGATAAAATTATCATTTTTAACTTGTTAAAATCATTAAATAAAAAAAAAGATAGTCAAGAGAATACGTGTCTGAATCTTGGGAAATGTGAGACAGAAGATTAATATTTTGACAGCACAAATATGATTGCCACTTACCATTTGACAACAAACATTGCCTCTCTAATCTCCTGTTTTAATTTACGTGACACAGTTAAAATTTTAAAATTTAATTCATTAATTAATATACAGAAATTTAGAATTTTTGATGTTAAAACTATATGTGAAGTTCTGAAAATAATATATACATCAATTCTTTTTTAAAAAAATTAAAATTATTTTTGATATATACTTTAGCTTAAATAAAACAAAACTAAAAGTTTAAAACAAAAAAGGAAAAAACTTTATTTAGAACCAAGAAAGGAAAATCTTTGATGTACTTGTAAATGAAAAACAACTCTGAAGAAACCCCAGAATTGCACAGGAACCCAAAAAACCTAGCCCACCCACAAAGTACCAACTGAATATATATTTTTAGATTCTTCGATATTTATATTAAAGAAGAAAATAAAATATTTTTTGAAAAAAATAATTTTATATTTAAAAAATTTAAATTTAAATTTTTTTTATTAAAAATATAAAAAATACAATATATTGAAATATAGAGTTTTCTAGATCATTCCAGTCTTTTTTATTTAAAAAAATTTCTTTATTAGATATCAGTTACAAAAGCAGCAAAGTGCTTGTTGGTTTTCTCCATCTTTTATTATTCCAATGTAAACTGAAGAGAGCTGGTTGGTGCCTCCAAGAAGACTACTTTTTTTGGCTCTTTCTTATAATCAATTTTTTTTATTCATCTGATTTTAGTTTAATTAGATAAAAAGTTAGTAATAAAATTATTATATTAATCACATTTCTCTATTTAATAATAAATTATATAAATATATGTTTTAACTTGACATTAAATCATATTAATACTCTCTAATTTTGAATGTACGTAACATTTTATATGATAATTAATTAACTGCACTCTGTATTAAAGTCATACATATATTATATTACATAAAAAATATATATCTATTTATTCAATTTTATACGATAATCTGTTTATCCATATGGAAGACATAAATTTAACTAAAGTCAGACATTCTTATTTATTATAACAAAACAAAGTTTAATCAACTAAAAGCTTTTTAACAATGAATTAACAAAATCTTATTAATAAAAAATTCATATTTTTAAATTAAAGAATTATTAGAAGAGGAAAAAAAGAACATTCTTCCTTGAAATTTTAAGAAAATAATAATATATTAAATTTAAGCCAAGAGAGTATTTTATTTTAAAATTATAAAAAGGAGAGAGAAATAATCTTAGAGAGAGAAAACCAATACATTAGATAAACTTCTAGTGAATCTTTTTCTCTTAGGTTAGTGAGAAATTGAAAGTGAATAGAGTGTAGAATGGCAAATCGATGGTGGGCTGGAAATTTATCAATGAATCCAAAAGTAGAAGACAAATCAAATCAACTCCGCTCCGATAAAGAGCAGGAGTTCATGAATACAACCGCCGCCGCCGCCGCCACCGCCACCACCAACAGTAGTGAAAATCCAAATGAAATGAGTCATGAAGGGGAAGAGAATATACAGAGTCCCGAAGGTCTGTTTTCCTCTGGACCGTCCAGCTCTACGCATAGAGCTGGACGGCGACCCAGAGGAAGACCTATGGGCTCAAAAAATAAGCCCAAACCACCAATAGTAGTAACCAAAGAAACCCCAAATTCCCTCAAAAGTCACGTTTTCGAAATTAAATCCGAAAGCGATATAATCGAAACCATAGCCGCTTTTGCGAACCGCCGCGGATGCGGCGTGTCCGTGTTGAGCGGCAGCGGTATAGTAACGAATGTTACGTTACGCCAGCCGGCCGCGGTAACCGCGGCCGGAGCCGGAGGCGTAATTACGCTTCACGGTAGGTTCGAGATTTTGTCATTATCCGGCGCGTTTTTACCCGCGCCGAATGCTCCAGTTGGAGCAACTGGACTGACTGTGTACTTGGCCGGTAGCCAAGGACAAGTTGTTGGTGGAAATGTTGTTGGTGAATTGATAGCATCTGGTCCAGTTATTGTAATTGCTGCATCTTTTACAAATGCAACATTCGAAAGGTTACCGATTGTGGAGAATGATGAAGAAGAAGTGGAGAATAATGTAAATGAAGGGATGCAAATGGATATACCTACAACTTCAGGGGCTGGTAATGTAAATTCTGATAATTTGCAAGTTGATCATCCATCTCCTTCTACTTCTATTCCTATGTACAATTTAGCCACTAATGTTTTGCCTAATGACCAAATGCACCATGAACTTTTTTGGACTCCTCCTCCTTCAAGGCCTTCTCCATATAGTTAGTTATTTAATTATCTTTTTCTAGTTAGAAACTTTTATAATGTTGTTTACTTTTTGTGAATTTTTTTCTTTTTAATTAGTTTTTTTTAGGTTATGTTTGTAACTTTGAATCCTTAGAAGTTTTATCAATTTGGTTTGTTTTATAAGCTACTATCTTTTTTTTTTTGGGTAGAAAATTGTTTGAGTTTTATTTGATGTAGGTTATATACGAATTCATAAAAAAATTCTCATGTAATTCACCATTTTCTTGTGGTGTACGTTTATATTGTGATTCAGGTATCATTTACTGACTTCATTTTTATTTTTTTTTATTTATGATGTTTGAAGATGAATATAGAATTTAAATTTGATGGTTCAATCTTTTATGTTCTTACCATGAAATGTACCATGTATGTTAAAGGATTTAATATTGGTTGAAATTTCTAATTCTTCTCTTATTTAAGTGGGGTTTGGAGACGATAAGGTGTACGCAGACTTTACCTAATTAATTTTTATTTTTCTGAAAGATGGTTTTCGACGGATTCTTAGATAAATAACCTTTTAGGTCATAGTACACCTTCTAATTTTGGTGTATAGATATCTAGGTAGAATTATAGCTATTACTTCAATTATATTTTTGATATTTTTGTTTAATCATTTGGTATTTATTAATTTAAATTTGCATCATATAGTGCCCATTTAGGGAGAAATGCTATGATTGAATTGATTTTGGATATTTTGAGTACTAGCTTTCTGTTCACATCATCTATACATTTCCAGGCTTTAAATTAGAAGTGATTTTCATAGTAGATTGATGGAAGGCTGGAGACTAGTTATGGTTGTATCGCTCATGTGGTGTAGGGAATGTAATAGTTTTTTCTTTAACTAGAGATTTCAGATTCGGACTTTAGGTATGAGGAATTCTTGGTAGGGATCGGAGTCTTTCCCCTCAATGAGGTTTTACATGGAGTGAATTTTGAAATAGTTGGAATTCAATGTAGATATCAGATATCGAGTGAGAAACTAAAAAAAAAATTAGCTTTATTTTCGTAATATAGTTTTTTTTCTTTTATTTCCTTCCCAATATTTAGTGTCCGTTTTGGGTTTTAACTTATTTGAACATGTTGTCAAAAAGTCTCAGTTTTAGCTTAATAGGGTTTCAGATTCGAAATCCTTTGCATGTTTTCTCGATTGAGCTCGTTTCAACTTGCCTAGTGTGATTTATTACCCCTTATATATGATTTGTGAGCTCATTACACTAAAGCGAGATTTATCTTGTACCTGCATGAAGAACAACAAAACCTAGTACATTTTCTTTTGGTCTTATTAAGGGGAAAATATATTTTCGTTCCGGCTATTAATTGGTACCTTCTGTCCAACAATATTTGTTTATCGTTGATTTTACACACTTCTATCCTCCGTTTAATAATAGTTATCCGTTTAATAATAGTTATTAACTATACTATTTTGGATGTTCAACAATACTTATCTATTTTAAGAAATCAATAGATTATTTTTTTTATACTTTAGTTTTTATATATAGTCATTTTTCTACTATTACAATTTTCAATGATATTTAAAGGGTGGTATTGTAAATTTACTCTTCTATTTATAGTTCTTAAGAGGGGTGTTAAGTAAAAAATGAACAATTATTGTTGGACAGAAGGAATATATCACCTTTGAATATAATAAATTTAATATCTTGAAAGATGTAACAGGAAAATAATTATAATTAGTGATAAGAATAAATTAGAAATCAATTGTAAAATTATCTATTAAATTCATAAAGCGAGTATATATTATTTAATATTTCAAATAATATAGTGGATAACTGTCGTTGAACGAAGCGAATAGTAATAATGTCTTGATTCATAGGAAAGAAGAAAATGTTAGATTTGTGTGTCAATTAAATTGGCCTTTTCTGGCAACTGCATATGGGACGTTGGGAAGTTGTTGTACTAATATTTGTATTTCATTAAACGCAACCAATTGTTACTTAGGGCTTTTAGCTACGAGCTCAATCGAAAAACACATGCAGTTGATATCGATATTTTCTGCTCAACCAACTCGAACATCATCTTGAATAATGATTTTTCTAAGGGGTGTAAGATAAATAAATGTGGTGTTTCATCTTCTATTTGACCCTTAATTTGTCCTTTTTATTATACATGTAATTGACTTTTGAAAAATAAAATGTTATAGTCAATATTGCCAACTACTAACTTCATGGTTAAATAGGAAAATTAAAGTAATATACATTCATAGATATTACACTTTGGCCCAGTGTGAGAATATGAGTTACTTTGTTAGTTGTGGAGCCTGATTAATATTTGGTGTACTGTCACATATATTAATGTTCACGCTTTGGTCCAGTGTGAAAATGGAGGCTGCAATATTTAGTCTCTATTTATTTTTTGTAACTTAAAATACTCTGAATTATTAATATATACCCTTTCTCCGTGGAAGTTTATTACAGGATGTTATCACGAAATATTGGTTTCTCTCTTTCTCTCTCTTTCTCTTGCAAGTTCTTGTGTTCTTCATTCATCAAGTGTGTGTGTGGATTCGATCCTAACATTACTAACTCCCGGAGAATCATGTCATTTCACATGTCACGTATTATCACACAAGAAAGCAATAGGTGAATGGAGATAGCTCGAAAAAGGTATTTTTCTTTAAACGACTAATATGACCACTAGCTTGAACTACGACCGCTTTTAGTTTTTGGTTCGAATGGAAAAGGTGCAATCTAAGAGAGGTGGAAGGTTTACACAACTGTAAGCTAAGATGATTGAGAAGCATACCGTGTGGTTTAAACTAATGAGTGGCATAGTTATATTGATTCAATGGTATTAAGAATAACGTTTTAAGAGATATATATACTAAAGTTTTGAACATCTTTAATAAAAATTACTAGCTTTTCTACCGCAATAGAATTATTTTATTAAAAGTCTTGCGCTCTACTCACTGAGCTAATTGTAATGCAGAATTCAATGAAAGTCGCGAACATACACTTCATTGACAACATTTTATTGGGCCAGGGTCCAATATTGAGCAAATTTAGATTATATGGATGAGTTGATATGCCTAAGTGTGTTTGAAATATACATTAAAATATTTTTAATTCTTTTTTTTTATGTTTCAGTATATAAAAAATGTTTTGAAAAATATTTTAAAGAAAAATAAGTCCTTCAAATATGTAAAGGATTTTTCTAATTTAAGCAAGAAAAATAAGTTTCAAGAAAGAGGGAAACAAAGGATAAGATCCTTGTGAAATACATTATATATATATATATATATATTTATTATAAAAATTCCCACCAAAAATCAAGAAGATAGAAACTCGTTCAACTAAGAAAAAACTTTGAAAAAACTTCAAATATTACTATGAAATAACATTCTTGTGAAATACATGCAAGAGTATTTTCAATAAAAGCATAAGCGGGATTAAGGCTACTTAGACGCCCACCGTGGGGCTCGAACCCACGACCACAAAGCTAGACGGGCAAGACATTATAAGATATTTATTACTTACTAATATTTATAAACTAGAAAAAAAAATGTATGAATATGGTAGCCCAACTACCTTTTAAGAAATAATTATAATATTAATATTCAAAAAGAATAACGTACATGAAAATAATTTAATATATTGTATAATTAGAAAAATTACTTCTTATAGTGAGATGACTGATATCACAATATGCCTTTATGGAGTATATGTTAGGGGGCGGAATTATATACAATAAAAAAATGGTTCTTTTGAATTCCTTTCTTCAAAAATTGTATCACACGTATATAAAATTTAAAATATTTTTAATTGAAGTGAGTAAATTTTAAAAGAAATTTTTCGCCATAAGTATTTTCAATAAAAGGATAAACTGGATTAAGGCTATTCGACGCCCACGTATGTATTTTCAATAAAAGGATAAACTGGATTAAGGCTATTCGACGCCCACCGTGGGGCTCGAACCCACGACCACAAGGTTAAGAGCCTTGCGCTCTACCAACTGAGCTAGACGGGCAATACATTATAAGATATTTATTACATAGAAATATTTAAAAATTATGGGGAAAAAATGTAAGAATATGGTAGCCCAACTTCCTTTTAAGAAATAATTATAATACTATTATCCGAAAAGGATAACGTACACAAAAACAATTTATGAGGTGTTAATGTATTGCATAATTAGAGAAATTACTTCTTATAGTAATTATAATACTATTATTCGAAAAGGATAACGTACACAAAAACAATTTATGAGGTGTTAATGTATTGCATAATTAGAGAAATTACTTCTTATAGTGAGACGATTGATATCACAATATGTCTTTATGGAATATATGTTAGGGGCAGAATTATGCACAATGAAAATGATTCTTTGGAATTCCTTTCTTCAAAATTTATATCATACGAATAGAATTTTTAAATCATCTTTAATTGAAGTGAGTAAATTTTAAAAGAAAATTTTCACCGTAATTTTTAATTTTAGGAGCATAAATAAATGTATTTATGAAAAATCTGCCCCCACCTAACCCCCCTAACCAATATGTGGTGCCAATAGGTGAAAGCGAACTTTTGTAGTTGACTCTCTATTTTTGTAGTTTGGATTGTTTTTTTTTTTGGTGGGGGAAGGGGGGACAATTAAAATAACTTCCATTGTTAATTTATTTTGAATTTTATCGAAATATTTCGTTTAGATATTCAAATTAAATTACATAAATTCAATCCAACTCGTAATAAAATGCTCAAGATTACACACATTTTCATACATTTATTAGATAGTTAAGTGAGCTACTAACGTTGCATGCAATATAAATTTAAAAACAGTTAACGATTAAAAACACATTAAAAAAATAATTCGAACCAAATGATTGATAGCATTCTCAGTATCATATGATTTTATATAACAAAAATTCAGTTATACCATGGAAGAAAGTGCAATTGTTCTTTTTCCTATTAACATGTCAAATAAGAATTGATTAGTACTATAAAAATCTACAAACCTACAGTTTTAAGTACGTAATTAATATTTTAATAGAGTACTTTAATTCAGCATCCTTTCATTATTTCAATTAATTTTTTTATGGAAAAAGATATATAACTAATTTACAAGGGACCAGATAATAAATTAATAGGTAAAGTTGGCGTATAAGTCAATAAAACTCATAAATTAATACAAATGCACTTATTAACTTCCGTTCTTATATCCCTATCGCTCGGACATAGAGTCAGAATATTCAACAAAAAAATATAAAATGTTAAAAATAATTATACAAAAATAAATTAATAATAACAAATTCACACAA